CGAATATATAAATGATTCATCATTCAATAAATAAAGGTAAGAAATACAATTCTTAGAACAAATAACTCCAATCTCTAGCTCGAATGTTTTCAGATGTGATGGATTGTGGGTAATAGTATAGTTCGAAGCCGCTGTTTCTTCCTACTTGAAACTCATCAGCTGGATATAACGGGACCTAGAAGTCAACGTTCATCCCAGGTTTCAAATCCAATACTTTTCGTTTCAGACGTCAAACACGTTACCCACTTAGCTACTGACTCTAGACAGCTACTCACCTGTACAGTGAGTGTGAATAGAATTCCCTAAAAATTGTGACGAAACGATCAGGCTCAGGTGATCTTCGCATGATACACATGCCAAACTAGGATGATCAAGATTCTCCCCAAAAATATCAACATTTAGATGACTGAATGCCCTTGCAAATCAAATTATAACTTCCTGTTCTGACATAAACTTATTAGATAATTAAAATAACCCATAGTGTCATTGAATAAGAAAAAGAGAATTCAGCGAAGAAAATTTTCTTTTCGACGAAAAAGTTTCTTCGCTGAACTCTCTTTTTCTTATTCAATAAACTTATTAGCTTACTCATATTCATTTGCGTTTAATCGCGATCTTACACAAACGTTGCACCACAGGGAAATTGCCTTGCCTGACCCACCTCAAGGAGAAGACCATGACATCTTGCGTCCAACCTGCAGTTCACGAACAAATAGCAGCTTACAGCAGTAACATTGATTGTCAGGAAGAGCAGATTGAAAAGGTGTGGAGAGTGAGCATGTCGTGACAGTATAGTAACAGCGGAAACCTACCGCAAGTCACCCACAAGCTGAACTGTTTCTGTGTTGGACAGCAGATCACTGCACGTTTAGTGATTGATAAGAACTAGTAACAAAGGTCAATAGGGGTAGGCACGAAGGCATCATCGGAACTACATAACTCGGCAATGTCGGTGTGGTCAATCTAAATCCTTCGTTTTTATATTCGATATTTTGTCCTTCCGGTAGATTTACACTTGTCCCTCATCAAACCGCCATAGAGTGAGAATGATTTAGGATAGAAAATGATGTGACTCCAACAAAAAATCACATGGATTAATCGACTACATCACTTTAGGTCTGCAATTTTATTGTTCGATTATTGGCCTAGTAGGGAGTCAGAAATTTATGGACAAACCAATGAAACTGGGGATAGTGAGTCTTTGAATATGGAGCGGATTTCACTCATCCATGTAGTCAAATAGAACTTCGGCTTTACAGCTGACGTCGACTAGTGATAAAGGTCCTAACTCCGATTCCTTAACTCGAATTCTAACTCTAAATCCTAACCTATGACCATTTTTGAGCCCAGTAATTCCTCACGATATTCATAATTTTCCCATAATCTCAGCAAGTGAACTTTCTCAATGCCACTTTGGCGTCGCTCAAACGTCATCCATAAATTATAGTCTCATCATGTAGTAGGTTTGGTCAATAACCTTCCTATCAAAACGGTATATGGCGGTCTTCGAGAGGTAATTATATCTTTCATTTAGTTTTAATTTATTTCCATATAGCAATATGTTTTGATGGCATTCAAGTTTACTGGCGAGATCAAAATGTTATGAATACTACGGGATTTACTGCAACAATTTACTCTGTTAAGCTCATATGTTATAAGACATACTGATTATAGAAACAGGGGCTAAATTAATGCAGGTAAGAATATGAACAATATCAAGATTAATAACGATAGTTCGTAGGTGCGTGCCATTTCCTCAGGCACAACCAATAACTTACATCACAGCTGAAGATGGCATAGGTATTAAGAGCTTGACAACATCTTTGCACGTAACACCTTTATAATCGAAGTATATCAACCCAGTCAAGTCAGAAGTCAGAGATTAAGTGGTTCTAAGGTATATTTGGAAGACTATCGATGTATTGAAAGGCGTTCAGTCTAAGACAGCTAATAGTTGTAAGCGATACGCAGCACAGCTCGCCCACTCATGATCTGGTGCATATGTGTAACCGTGTGTGTCCAGCAGAAATAATGAGGGCAGAATCGAATGTCAAAGACCTACAGAACTACCTCTTTTGGAGATCTGTTTACCGCTACATAGTTTAACAGATAATCTACTACCTGAGTGATATTTTTAAATAGATAAATTCGGTCACAATTTATGATAGAATACTCATGCAGGAAAACCTGTCAATAAATGGGTTTGTGTACTGGTACTGTAATATACGTTCATAGTTGTTATAAGCTGTTAAAAAAATGGCACATTATACAAAATGTGACCTCATCAAACGTACATCTTCTCCATATTCCGTTTATGCGTATCGTATTCGTGACACTGGGAAAATAGAGGAAAAAACAGCATAACTAGCAATAAAAAGGGGTTGACAAAACGCAACATTTTTATTATTGCAGTGGAAGAGATTAGGGTTTGTCTGCTGGTAGATAGAACTCAAGCTAAGCAACGAATGACCTACCGGTAAACCATGGGAACTAAACGCAAAAAGTAAAGAATTGTATTGGGGAAACAGACCTTAGTTTGTGGAAGGTTGAAGAGAAAAGCAGGATAAACATTTATTGATTTCGGGAAATCGATAGTTTGAAAAATCGTTTAAATTTCACATTACTTTATCACCACTTACCTACTTGCTTACTCTTTTTCCACTCTTAATACGATCAACCAGGCTAAGATCCTCACCGATGTATATTCCGGATCGAATTAGTTTGAGTGAGTTTTTCAGTGTCAGGTTTCTTTCTTCAGCCAAATCGAAGATAACCTCTGAGAGGCAGCTTTGATGAGTGCCTTCAGAACCCACCTCTTGTCCTATTCTATGAAGCTTACAGATCCTAAATCCTGAAAATATTCTTGGGAGTAGCTTGCTTATTAAGGACTTAATACGAATGAGATCGTGCTTAAATCTAGTCTTTGGTTCCTTTCCGGAAGATTCTCTTAACTCAGAAGAAACGACTGAGCTGTCAACGAGGTCCGATTTAACACGCTGTAAAATTCCAAATCCAGAAACCTTCATGCAATCTGATTCCGATTAGGCGTCAAACTCAGAGATCCCACGTTACTTTTTTACTTTTCATTTCCTGGGTGTGACTGTGAGTCATACATTTACCTTATTTTGTCTCTTGATCACATCTTTTATACCTCTCAGACTTTGCTCCCCATAGTCTGTTTTTCGTTGATATGAGAATCCGGAACTAAAACCATAGATTCACATACCTTAGTGTTGCCTATAAATGGTCTCCTCTCAGAATGCTTTTTCTTTTTCCTTGTGACAATTTCTACCTATGTATGTTTATTATCCGTTTCTCTAGTAGGTTCCACCTTTATGGTCTCATTAAAATTCAAAGCTAGACTCATGATGACGCTCGCTATTTCGTAGAAAACTGAATTCTGCTCATCCACTGCTGCCTGTTTATCTGAGGGCAATTTTCCATCTATGTTTAGCAGCTCAATCGCCTGAAGAATCCGCAGAGACTTTGCAGAACAGCATGCTTTGCATAGCCAATGTGATAGTTGCTTGCAGCACATTTTATACGCAGCCGGTGTGAGTCCAGTGCACACATTGTGATACCACTTGCTGAAGTTGTTGCATTGTATTCTATTATCAACGAGGAGATAGCATGCAGGCCTGTCACAACGATGTTTTATTAGCTCCATAAATTTGTTTTGTGATCTCACAGGAAGAACAAAAGCGAAAAGTGATCTCTAGAATGATTGTATTCTAAGGCTTGATAGGTGGTAGATACTGAACACAAACAAAAAACAGAGGTTTGTATATTACCGGGCCTAACAACAATAAAAAATCCAACTTCAGTGTTTACAACAAGACCTTAATGCCTTTGGATATAGACAGTACTAAAGGATATACTCAACGTGGGAAAGATAACAGTACTTCTTTTTGTATCTGTAATAAAAAAATAAAGATGATATACTTCTCTAGAAAGATGTGATACGCTAGGAGTTTACTTTAGCTGACATAAATTAATTTACAGCAAAAACAGTAGTCGTGTTGTGTAATTAAACGATCAATACTATGAAATATACTCAGAAGAAAAATACCACTGTCCTTTTTAAATAGCGCGCGATACTTTGAGCTCAGTTGCAGTTTCCTAGCAATATTTGTTTGGAGAAATCTTCTTATACCTTCTTAGACTTATATCTCACCTGTTTCTTGGTGTTGAAGATGCCACAAGTATTCGGAATTTGACAACGCTTTAACCAGTAACACCTTCCAATATGAATCGTACCCACCAAGTGAAATCAAAAGACAGAAGCGAGCAGGTTCGAAGATATATTTGATAGGCTATCAATACATCGAGGATCGTCTGATCTAATCTGGCTAGCGATTGCAAAGGGTGTTGAACGCGGCGTTCCCACTCGTGATCGGGTGCGGATTCTTGACCGAGCGCCTTCAGCTAGGTGATTTCATTAAAACTTATGTGGTCAGCATTCAATGTCGAAAACGTACAGAGCTATTTATTATGGGTATTTATTTACCGCTACAGTGTTATTTAAGACCCATGATCAGAGACTTCAAGTGAGTCTGTCATTTGTTCCACGAAACGTCATCCCTTGTAAGATTCAGGGACATAAATATAAAGGTCTCCTAAAGGCAGAATTACTACGATATTAAGCTAACTTACAACCACACTACTTACACTTCGAATATGAAATGCACAACTCGGGTCTGACCACTCAAGGTCCCTTAAATTAAAAAGCTGCATTTTCAGTTCCAAGCTGATCTTCTTGCCATACGTTTTGTTTACAGGCGGACAGAATATGACACCTTCGACCAAAATGTAACCAAACCGGACAAAATTTCCCCCAAACTGGGGAGATCGGGAAGTTACTAGGCTACAATTATCCAACTTGTGCACTACAAAATAGAGAGAGCTAAATCAATGTTCGTCGCAATGATTTTGTGGTTTTGCTGCAGCAAAAGACCACGTAAAAGTGAGAACACCTGATAATCGTGCAACTCAACAAATCCACAGCATTTGAAATACGTATTGAACGCTCAAGGTCGTTGAGACGGAACGGCGGGCAGCTTTTCCTGAACTTCTTCTTAACAGAAGACAGTGTAAGTTTTTATTATCGTTTCACAAATATGGTGTATATGTTTTGCTTATCCATTCGACGGTGAGACTATAAGTTATGGACGATCTTTGAGCGACGTTGAAGTGACCCTGGGGGTGGACACCTACTGATTAGGACTAAATAATGGTTATAAAGCAGCTAGAATTCTCATTTACAGTTGATGGTTAGGGTTAAAAATTAGGTTTAAGGCTTTCATCACGAACTGACATCAGCTATAATGCCAAAACTAGTGTACGATAAATGTCGCGCCAAAATTCGTGGGTCATTCTTAATACCTAACTAACTTTTTTATATTACAACCGAGGTCATGCAATCGAAAAACTTTCGGGGTGATAACCTTATGTTGGGGTGCTTGTCCAAGTCCTAGTGTGGGGACTTAACCGTTTTCTTTCAATATGAAGAATAGCTTGGAATATGTAGGTTAATTATTTTAATTGAAGTTGTTACTTCATTATCATTCCTTTTCCTTTTATTGTCAATTGGTCTTTGATTGTCTAACGTTTCCTGACTGACTGACAAGTCATTCAAAGTCATCAGCATACTATACTTTTACTGAAAAAGGGAATCACTTGGTATAGGCACTGTAATGTTTGTTCTCCTATTTTCTACCTTTAAGGACTTCAAGAATAAATGGGAATACATAGACACGTAGTTCCTGAGTCTTATGAACATTTTCACAGAAATTTCACACAGTTTGTTAATTTGGACTGTTGATCGGCAAAATATGAGTCACTTGTTAAAGGCATAGTTTAACTTTTTACAGACTGTTGTAAATCAGCCAACTATCGATGTGCTGATGCTCTAGGACAAGATTTATGATCTACCTACCGAACGCCCTGGTACGGTCGAGGGTGGAGTTAGTTCTCTCTCACATGGCCACGCGTATACAGTTACTACCAGGAAAGTCCTACTCACAGCCTTCTCGTGGAGGGGGTGTTGTTTACAAAATTGAAAGGACGAAAAGAGAATGTTCTGCGCTCTAACCGGGTTAATGGACATGGAGAGTCCACCTAGGGGGGTTGGGAGACCCTGATTCCAAACCAATGTTGCCCGACCTTTGTTGCTACCTTGATGTGGTGGTCGGGCTTGTCTATCGTGATGAAGCAACCGAGCAATACTGGCTGGAACAACCGTTCCTCAATGTCCTACTATGCCAGACAGGTCAGTTGGAGAGCGGTAAGACTAAAAGCAACAAACATAAGTTCCGAAGGCGAGGTCGTACTACTGACTTCACAGAGGTGTGACAGCAGTAAGGTGTTTTCTTCAGACAACCAGCATGATAGCGATACTGCCTTTCCACAAGGAGAGGTGGGGTTAGAAAAGGTCGACCTGAAAATGCACACCGCCTTATCCTGCGGATATCCGTTTCCGGTGGTAAGGTTTCAAGTACGGAGCTAACGCGAAAATTACTCACAAAAAGTTCGTGTATGACCGACCTCAAGCAGTTTTCCCTTGAGCACTGCGGTTATGCTCTCAGGTCACTAAGATAACCTCTAATTCAATTTCCTTTTCAGGTACCTCCAGAAGAACCCTTCCACGATGTAGACAACCAGGAAGTGATAACTGCCCTCATACTTCTAACAGCACTCAAGACCATTGTATTCATAATCAACCTCTTTCTTCGATTCCTATCATTCCTCTTTCAACACTAAACTTCCTCTTTTGACCTCCTTCTCAAGTGTCACCATAGCCAACGATTCTAGTGCGCCGAACACTGTCCCAGGTCTACTGAAACCTCGTTCTAAACTACACATTTGCGCCTTTCAACGTACGCACACTATGTCGAATTGGCCAGCAGGCCTCCTTGGCTGGGACTATAAAATCTCATACCATTGGTGTATGCTGTGTCTCTAAAACACGCATACAGGATCCTAGTGTGTTCATTCACTTGACCTCACCTCGCCAAAAAGGAGAGCCAACGAGATTCACCCTCCGTGTATCTGGCAACCGTTGGCTAGTTCTCGTAGACTGACTGGTGTAGGCATGGCATTAAATACGAGGTAGGAACAAGAACTATTAGAATGGACCTCCGTTAACAGTCGCTTATGTGCTGTTCGGCTAAACGGCTCCATAAGAACTTGGAAGGATAGAGACACACGTCGTTGCCTTTTTGTCGTTTCTGTCTACGCTCCCACCGACTGCAGCTCAGATGAAATGAAAGATGAATTTTACAGAAAACTATCTGAACTTCTTAAGAAAGTTAAACGTTCAGACATAGTACTCGTAGCGGGAGACTTTAATGCCCAGATAGGTAGTTTAAACCAAACAGAAAGGCATTTAGGTGGGTATTTTAGTATTCCGACACAACGAACAGATAATGGTGATTGTCTGCTGCAACTTTGCTCAGACAATCGTTTACTTTTAGCAAACACTAATTTTGAGCATAAGGAGAGACATCGTCTAACATGGTGACTCCCTACACCAAACCAAGAAGATTGTCGCTCATTCTGGAGTATCTGATTGGACTCCGACCACGCCCTAATACGGGCACGCATCCGCTTGCGCCTCACTGGACGCAAAAAAGCTTCAGTAAAAAGACCCATTAGAACTGAATTGAGTAGCGAGAAAACCAAAAGTAGGTTCCAGGAACAACTGAGGTCACACTTAGGTAGCCCGGAAAACGAGTCTGACACAGATGTTACTTGGAAAGATATACAAACAGCTGTAGAAACAGCAGTGACATCTATTAATGATCTAAACCAAAGGGTCACGAAAAACCAACGGATTTCTTCTAAGTCTATTGCACTAGTGGGCTATCATAAACTCATCCTATCAGGCTCTGAACACGATGAAGAGCGACAACAAATCAGATCTAGGTTAAGCAAAAGTCTAAGGAACGATTGTGAGCAGTGGCAGGCAACGAAAGCAAAAGAGATGGAAAAGGCAGCGGCTGTAGGTAACACTAGACAGCTCTACAGACTAATAAAAGAAACTGGAATTAATAAGTCAAGTGTAAGTGAGATTATATCGGAAAAAGACGATACACTCATCTGCTCCAAGTCCAGTCGTTTAGAACGATGGGCGGAACACTTTAGGGAACAGTTCAGCTGGCCTTCAGCTACTCTACAACTACCCTCCATTCCCAGACAGTGTGAATGGAACATTGAAGTAGGTCCCCCGACTCTTGCTGAAGTTCAAAAGGCTATATTTAATCTGAAACGAGGAAGGGCAACTGGTCCAGATGGCTTGGCTCCAGAGGTCTTTAAGCATGGTGGTCCAATTTTAGCGATTAGGTTGACTAGTATTTTAGCTAAGATCTGGGAGTTAGACGTCATTCCATCTGACTAGTCACAATCACTTATCGTCCCAATATATAAGAGAGGGTTAAAATCATCTTGTGACAACCATAGAGGGATTAGTTTGACTAATATAGTATCTAAAATACTAGCCTCGATAATTATCAGACGCCTAACTAAGACTCGTGAACTGCAAACACCAGAGAATCAAGCTGGCTTCAAGCCTGGTTGTGGCTGCATCGATCACATATTCACCATTCGTCAGGTTCTAGAACATAGGCATGCTTATCGGCGTCCGACAATGGTGGTCTAACGTGACTTCAAAGCAGCATTTGACTCCGTAGACCGCGAGATTCTGTGGCTGTGTTTGTCATTGAAAGGCGTACCTCAGAAGTACATTAACTTATTGTTTAACTTCATCATAGACCTACTGATGGAAATAACGCTCTTATCGACTGAATTTTCGGGCATTGATCTCGCACCAGGAGGTCCACTTATCGACTTAGAATACGCAGATGATATAGTCCTGTTTTGTGAAGACGCTGATAAAATTCAGTCTTTTGGTAGCACTAAGCAACAATGCCAGAATGTTTGGAATGTGCTTCTCTCCCTCTAAATGCAAGTTGTTGCTTCAGGACTGGCCTGCGTCAACACCTGAACTAAGGATAGAAAGTGAAGTAGTCGAATGCGTTGACAACTTCACTTATCTTGGAAGTCTGATCAGCCCTAATGGGTTGGTGTCTGACGAAATCTCAGCACGGATTCGAAGAGCTCGTTTGGCTTTTACCAACTTAGGTCACCTATGGTGAAGGCGAGATATCCGTCTATCAATAAAAGGATGAGTATACTGCGCGGCAGTCCGTTCTGTTTTAATTTACGGCTGCGAACCGTGGCCTTTAAGAGTAGAAGATACTCGTATGCTACTAGTACTTGACCACAGATGCCTTAGAAATATTGCTCGCATCTGCTAGGATCATCGGTTAAGTAAAAGCGCGGTTAGACGAAGGGTATTAGGGAATGTTGGTAAATCAGTTGATGGGGTTGTGAATCTTTATCGACTGAGATGGTTGGGCCACGTGATAAGTATGCCTGAACACCGATTACCACGACGTGCAATGCTAACCGGTGTTGGAGATGGTTGGAAGAAAGTTAAGGGCGGCCAAACCAAAACGTGGAATCAGTGCTTGAAGTCACTAACTTCTAGTCTGAGCCATGTTGGTAGATGCAGACTACTTGGTTGGGGTCCGCGCGACTATCGTAAGCAATGGTTGGAGACTGAGTGACATGACTCATAATCGACCACAGTGGCGTAGGTGCATACACTCTTTGTCTTCCCTTAAACTATGCGATTAATATTATTTCATATCTTTCTTTATGTACTATATCCTTGCATAAAATCTTTCCTTTATACATTACACCATTGAGTTAACTGCTTCTTGCTGTGCTAATGAGGTGTGACAACTTGAACCGACGCATGTATGTGCCTGGTCCTACGTTGTAACTGACTGACTATCACCATTCTCCTTCCGTTCTCCTAGTCACTCCATGTCGTCCCAAGATATATTCATACCCGGTGTTGTCCATTCCGACGTTGGTGTTTAGGTCTCTCATAGGGATGGTCAGGTCCTTTCCTGAGCACTTATCTACGATTGACTCCAGTCTCTCCTAAAGCTGACATTTATCATCTTCATTTCTATCATTTATTAGTACATAACACTGGATGACATTCATTGTGATTCACTCCTTTGTTTTGAGGGTTCCTATAAGCGTTTTTCGTGTTTCATTGGATAGCATCAGTGCAACTTATTGTGTAGCAAAGCATTTTCTTGTTCATAATCACAGTATAGCACCACCTCTACCAAATTTAATCTCTTCTGTGCAGCTTGGGGCCAATGGATTTCACTGATTCCTAGCACCGCCAAGTTGTATATCAACATCTCCGCAGCTATTTGATTAGTCTTCCTGATTTCCCACATTGGCCGAACGTTGTTAGAAGGGACATCAACCTCGTGGCTTCCGAAGAATTATGGCTTTTACCATGAGGTATTATAATTGTTGCAAATGAAGATCCTTCAGCCTCCAGTTCAGAGCTTAATTGGCTTAAATGATTTATTCTGGTTAGCGTTTTTTAAGCTAGGTTGTTTTCCACGGGAAGGGGTTGCTGACTTCAAACCTTACCATACTCCCTTATCCGGGCTGGAGACTTACAGTAACCGTGGAAGGTCTACATGTGGGACTGGGTTCTGAGGCAGAAACCTACTATTATTGTTCTCTTCTCTAGATCTCGAATTCCTGGTTTTGATATCGATACCAGGCAAGGTCGATGGTGATCACTTTCAATCAGTTTCAGATCAAAAGATAACAGCTCCTTCAATCAGCCATTTATAAATAACATAAAACTAGGCACCTATATACATCAGTTCAAACTCGCACAACTTGTCATCACAGCGAGATAAGATTACCAAAACCGATACCGTATATTACTGTTAATGGTTTGATAAGTAATTTAGCAATTCTCCATAAAAATAAAATTCTGTTTACTTTCTATACTTCCATTTAGACTGTCACCTGGATTCAGTAAGCTATCTATGGAGGAATTGGAAAGTTGGAAAAGAACTCATGAAACTCCAACTGAATGGCGCATAAGGCGATCGTTTTTGGAAAAAAATTTTAATAAATTACACCCTGAACGCTTGGAGTGTCTTTCACATTGTTTTACTAATGCTACATTGTACAAAGTCAAATATCCAGAAAAAGTCATGGAAGAGGTATTAGAAAATTTAGTTTTTGTAACCTGATTAATGTTTCAATTAGATCAACCTTCTTGGGGAAGGAATTGAAGAAGCCAATACTTGTGAACAGAGTAAAAATTTCAGTTGACGATAAATCGGAGTTATATATATCAACATTTTTGTAATTTATTATGATGCGAATTTCTAGCGGACATGTTTTTCTACTATTCTAACCGGATAGTTGAAGTAATGTGTATCGTCAATATATATTTCAACACGTACTTCTTGACTGTTGTTTCAGAGATTAGATGTTCTTGTATCATTATGAAGGCAGCTGTCACTTTCCGTCTGCTCACACCATGAAAAGGCATTCTTCCTTGGGTTACCTGAAAAGGAAACTGTATTAGTTGTGATCTGAGAGCGTGACCACACAACCCAAGAGACAACTGCTTGTGGTAGATCATACAGCCTTTTTGTGGAGAGATAGCTTCGCACTTTGAAAGCCATTACCACCAGAGACGGAAATCAGTGTCGCAAGGTAAAGTATGCTACTTTTAGGATTTGACAGCAACCTCTATGTGGATGCTTATCCGCCGCCTACACTGAAGAGCGGTACTTGGTAGTGCAGAGGTAGGTTGAGAAAGATAAGAGTGGTCAGACTAAAGAGTGCCGTCAGTTCGTGAGGTCACTGCTTATTGGTCTAATCCATGTTGATAAATGCAGAAATCTTCGAGAACGAGGACGTTTAGATATAGTCGAATTTCCACCAAAGATGAGCCGCTGTATAAGTATAAAAGAGGGCGAATAATGTGGTAAATAATAATTTGCATCATTTGATTGTTATTCAAAGCAAGAAAAGTAGTTTCCATAGAGTTCATCTTTTTCTTCACGCTCCTTACCTTTTTTCTTTCTCTTCGAATTCTCATTGTCTTGTGTGGCGCATATATATTGGCGCTCTCTTGTACCAGTATTTATGTGTTCAAATAAATAAATAAAATAAATTCAGACCACCTGGTTGTAGTCTGTGTGATAACTGGTAACATGGCTCGGGATCGTTCACAGTGGCGCAGATTCATCCACGCTCTATCTTCTGGATTATGAATTCCGGTATTCCTTCGTTCATACCTTCCTATTGTATTTTTAAACCATATTCCCAACACTTAGTCTTCCTCATCATGATTGTTACTACATTACTTCGATCTCTTCTGTTACTTTATTCCCGTCAAGCCAATCGGGTTTGAAAAGTTAGGCCAAAGAAATCTGTCTGTCAGAAATTAAGTTAGCTGAAGATCAGAAACGATATTAAAGGTTTTCACAAAAATACCGGACGTTGCAGTTCATCAGTTTGCTAGTCTTTAAATTAGTTCAACGATGATTTGTGGTATAGTTTAGTGAAAAAGTTTATACGTTGATCATATAAATCGGTCTTTGCAGCGATTGAGTGTAATTATTGTAATAACACATTTATGATGTAAAAATATTACTCCTACTCATCATTCCCACTAATTTTATTTCCTTTGTCTCTGATTGTTAACTTACTACAAATAATTTATGTATTTTTTGTTAAAAAGGTCGTCTTAGTTACACTGTACACTTGTCAGAAATATTATTCACTGTGAAAATTGTACCGACAAACCTCATAGACATGTTGTTTTTTTTAATGTCCCGATTAAATATTATCAGTACAAAAAGGTGTTTTATTTCACTACGGTATAGTCAAAAATTCATTCACTTGGGGATTGTTTCCTTAAGTAAGTATCTATTCAGTTATATCAATCAAAATGAGCTACCTCAGAATCCAATTAATCGAATTTTCTTTCATATTACACATTTGTGCGAACTCTGATTACTAGGTACTCTTTAAGTAATAAAAGTATTTAAACAGCATTAATGTATCAATGTTATGTGTATGCAAATAACTATACTCGCAAATTTTGAGAAATAAACCAGTATATTCGTAAACAGTTAGTTAGTTTTCCCAGGTAGAACAGTTGAATACTCTTTGATAAATATTAAAACGCATTATTCCCATGTTATTACTGAAACATAATGTAATTTGATAACGATTTTATGCTCATTACTGACTAGTTTCGAATTAGATTTCTCAAAATTCTCGTGACCTGCGGAGTTAGCGAGGCCAGTAGTGGGACAGTTACTCAATAAAGCCGTTAAATTGACTTTACGCGAAACCGTCAATTCACTGAGACTTAAAATTTCTATACTTCTTATCTAGTCTTTCCTCGTTTAATTTTTCCATTGTAATTTGGATCTACTAGCCAATCGTTTTGGTCGTCTTCGTCTGCGATAAACCTGTGTGCCTCCCCTATTAGTTATAGCTTCTTGGCTAATACAATTAGTCGGAATAGATCAAATAGCATTATTTCATTAGGTTTTTTTATTCAATTTTAATTTATATGATGCAAAATTACCGAATCATATCATGTAGCATTCATCAACATGAGTTCTTTGTAAGACAAAAGAAACAATAGTCCATAGATCTGATTTTAAAACGTCTAAGTTTATCATTTACTTAAATAAACCGAAATGGGATTGCATCTCAACGTTGGTGTGAGTACTTATTGTCAGGAACATTGTCATATTTTCAGCAATTGTAGTAGATATCAATATACCCTCTATTCTTAATCTTGAGAAAGAGTAGTCATTTGTAAAGTTGGGAAATATTATTTTGATCATAAGATTACCAACGGCGAGACTATAATTTATGGACGAACCAACCACATCTTGGATGTTGGCGCGGAATTCATTCAGCTATTTGTCTAAATAGCGTTTTAGCTTATGTCAGTTTGTGATGAAAACCATGAATCTAATTCTTAACCCTAACCATCAGCTGTAAATCATAATCCTTATTTTTCAAACTGCTTTACAACCATCATTTAGCCCTATTAAGTAGGTGGACATTCTCAAGATCACTGTGGCGTCGCTTAAAAGTCGTCCATAAATTAGTCTCACCATTATCAACTAATAAAAGTTGGAGAATCAGTTAGTTTGATTTACTTATAAATTTAAAAAAATTGGTTTCCGCCTACGTTCACCAAAGTGTGGACGCATAAACTTATCATCTAACATTGTCCCAAAACTTTAAAAGGGACTATCTCTGACAGGTTATATATTTTTCTATCTCTGATATATACGTCTATATATAGGATGTATAAATATAAACTTGAGTACAATGGATGCCCATATATTCTTTTCAAAAACAAAACAAGATGTAAAACTAGAGGGAGAGAAAACAAAGAAAATACGGCGAAAAAACTAATCGTGACATGTTAAAGAATAAGCTCTCAAAGGACAAGAAAAAGTATGAATAAGTAACAAAAATAAATCTCTAAAAAAGGCGTCCAAGTTTTATAAAAAAAGAAGAGAATGTTTCAATTCTAATATCATTGGAAAATAATACATCCCCTTCTCTGTGTCATGTACACTCAAACTTTGAATTTCTGTTTTACTTAGCTTAATTTATTCAATCATATCAGTGGGGGTAATCGTAGTAGAAAAAGAAAGAGAAGAGGAAGGTTTATCGCAATTTAACGAAGAATCCTGATTACTATCTATATCATTTATTCTTTTGATTACTTTTTCGAAAATATATGTCCATGGAGCAATAGCAGATGATTCGTTGGACGTATTCTCATAATTCATAAAACCAGTCGATACAAAGTTAAACTGTTCAGATGTGGTTTTCGATAGCTAAAAGCAAAAACAGTAAAGAATTAAAATGTTGCTCATATTTTACACAACAAACAATCATGTTGGTGAAATCAAGAGTTTCTCTTATTTTACAACAAAACCATAAATAACAGTAAATTGAATTCGTGATTCAAAGGTTGATTATCTGTTAAAAGAAATCAATTTATATTTTGTAATCGACACAGTTCAATATGATACTGATTAGCATGGTGTTAATGCTCATTTTTTTGAAATTCTAGAACACGGTTCAAATGTAACCGGAAGTATGAGATCTATGGTTTATGTGCTGCGACACTTTTCTGAAACTAAAAATAATTTATTGTTAGAGACTCGGAATTAACATCACTCAATACTGTAACAAAGGATATTTATTATCTTTGGGTTAATGAAGTCAAACAATCTGCAAACCCAGAGAAGGATTAGATGAGAAACAGGATTCTTTTCAATCATAAATAACGATTGTTTCGCTAACCACTATCAGAATTTCCGCGCCTCCCAATATGTGTCAAACTGCCAGTTGATGATTCCACAGGCCATCCTTCAGGGAGATATAGTGTGATGAAACGGTGGTGAATCCAAAATTAGTCAGTATTAGCGATAGTAATGAATGAAACGAAAATGTACAACTGAATCACAGTGTTCTTATTAAGTACGAAATATAATGTATTTACGAAAATACACTTTGTATCAACTTACTCCTAATTCCTGAAACAATTCAGATTGTGGTATATCTATAATAGATTTCCATGAAGAATAACTACACAACTCTTTGGGGGTTATTTGGTTGTCACTAAGTCCTTTGGTCTTCAAAGGATTTGGTACTAAATCGAAGTACTCTTCTTTTATTTCCCTCTTTTCTTCAATAGAACTGTTCATTTGGGCTTCATAGTTTAATACAGATAAACGTCTACTTTCAGTGATTCGTAATAATTCATAAAAACTTATTCGACTACTATCATGTGGATTGCAATCGATTCTCATTGTGTCATTATCATCATCATTTGTATAGTAATCTGGAATAGTATTTTCGGATGACAAGTTAACAGTTGAATTTGCAATATGTATATCAGTGGAATTAGTATAATGATAAGATGGATTGGTTTCATCAATATTTTGACGATGTGCTGTACGCAAAGCATTGAGAAATATTTGAGTAATTACAGGAGTATCTAATTTGTCTGTATTTGTAGGGAAAATTAATGATGATTGCAGTGCGGTACAACTATTTGTTATATCATCATTACATTGAATTAGTGAACAGATAATTGGTAAAGTAGTGTTAAAAGCATTTTCAACTGTAATTTTGTTTACATGGTAATCACAAGAAAAATCAGACTGTAGAAAGTCCTGTCCAACAAGATCATTTGACGACAGATATCTGTAAATATAAAGCGAAAATGGCTAGCTTTAAAATTCAGATAACAAAATGATAGCCAAATAGTTTATATGATTGAGAATAACTATGCTAGTAAAGCAGTGTTTATAGTTAATAAAGCGGTTTGAGCCACATTAGTCTTAAAGGAAATAATGTACGTAAATAATCAGTTGACTATTCGTATTAATCAATAAGCAATAATAGATGTTATTTCCCGCACATCCAGCTACAGTGTTGACGATTTGTAAAGTGATAATGGTTACACTAAAACTACACCAGGGGTTTTAATTTTAAATGAGACCGTAGTTTGTGAAGTATACTATAGTTTTCCACACTTGCCAAGTGGGTACTAGAGGTTTTACTCTGAATTTGTTCTAGCGATATAAGAGCAACTCCTTAACAATAACTGACCTATGTAGACAGTAAGAATAGGAAAACTAATTTTTTAGGAATGAACCTTTCCTTACGTTAACAAACGAAGAAAATTATGATACAGTTTGTTCATAATTACAGTATGCGATTGTCCGTGGAATATACAAAAAATGTCATTGGAAGATAGCAACCAATAATGAGAAAAAGGTCAGTGCAAGTAATATGAATTCTGGACCTTTAGCGAAATTTCGGCGTGTAAATGTACGAAAACCTATTGAAGGAACAGGACTCAGTATGAATATCAGTTTCTGTATAGTTTAGGAAAACTATCTTCCATCGCTCAGAACTGATAGCAACAAGGTGATGAATGGCAAAATATAGAATTCTCTATAGTATGAAATTTGGTAACACATTGTTAGTGAGAGCAGAATATATTTATGTATATGATAAAGTTCCAGTCGTTTGACCGTAATAGTAGTATTTTCAAGGGGCAGGATACTACAAATATATCTTCAGAAAGGTTTTGATCTTGTTACAAAATCAGGAATATTAAGTTAGTTGTATGAGTCTCGAATCGACCGAACAATTCTTTTACTTACAAGAGATAACAGTTATGCATTTTTTCAATTAAAATTTACCTGAGAATAGGTAGACAGTAGTGAGAAAAAACAGGTAAGGATAAACGTTATTCGTATTCAGTAAGCAAACTCAATTGCTATTGGCTGGTATGTTGTGCTCCTTTCTTCTAACAAAGCACTATCAGATAATTAGCCTTGGGAAATAATTTGGCAGGCAGGCACCTTGACGCAGTGCATGAAAATAACTAATCGTGCAGTTGGTACAACCTTTATTCCCCGTGAGCCACGTTTACATCATTTACTTAATACTCACAATTTCCCAGCCGGACACGCGAACGCATCGATATATAGCGAAGATTCAATGACTACAATAATAGTGGTCGTAATTAAATGGCCAAAAACAAAAATTGATACAGCTCAGTTACTTAAAACGAACTTACTCGGGTGGATTTTCAGAAGACAGATAACTTTGATTATTGTCGTTCTCCTCTACAGTGTTCCAAATACCTGAATAAATATTATCATTTAACATAAATTTATTCTGACTGAAATAATCTTTTAATCCATGTTCATAAATACCAGTTGGTTGAATAAAATGGTTTGTTTCGAATTGGGGTGATATAAATTGTGGATGAAAAGATGATAATGATTGATCAATTGGTTCAGTCAGAAATGATTGTGCAAATGTATGCGTTACTTCCGATAAACGATTCATTGCTATAAATATGAAAAACAAGGGGTGAAAAAACTGAATTCAACAAACGAATTTCGGGAAGCTTGTTACTGAAATCCTAGGCTATCCTCAATATACCCACACCCACAAAATTGTAAAAAAAACCTTTGCTTAAATGGTTTCTGAAAACTTGTATAATCTGAAGGTAGTTTCTGTCGCAAACTACCCTTTATAGGATAGGATCATTGGATTTCGGATAAATGATCAAGTGACTCTGGGTTCGTTTTAAAATTTCAAAGTCCTAAACGCGATCTCATGAGTCCGTACTACAGGAGTTCTCCGATAATTTCTGGTGTACAATAAGTTTCTAGATGATTCCAGTTCGTGGTAAAGACTAACTCTAAAAATTTTAATAACAGAAGGTCAGATAATTGACAAATTACATTATTGTTAAATATCTAAAAGTGATATATATATATATATATATATATATATATATATATATATATATATATATAATTTCCCAATCATGGTGGTTTAATACCCGGATTAGACGAAAACGATGTTAGCTGAAACACTACTTAACGTTTAATCTTTTCAATTAAACATAATTATTAAGCAGAAATAGATCGTGTCTAAGAGCGGAATCTTGATTCTCATTTCATCCTATTTCTTCACTCTGGGATGTGAACCCAGTACCGTTCGCCGTAGATCATTATTATTACAGAACATCCTGAAAACTTCTAAGTACCAAAATTAATTTCAATGATACAATGTTCGAAGTAAGAAAAAAAACAGAATATTCATTCTATAAAAATGTGTACAATCAATTACTAGGTAGTTCTGTAGAAAAATTCAGCTTTCTCGTTATTAACGACAACTAAACAATTAAGTCCTTAAAAAATTGGGATATTGATGATATGCAGATTGATAAAAAATATACAGTGTTCAGATAAATCACTTTATTTTAAAGTATTTAACTGAAACTGGAAAACTTCAAGTGTTTTTTGGTCCCCAAAACATGTATTCGTATAAATCATCTAACTGTCAGCGCTGTATGCCCAACATTTTGTGATCATATTGTATAAAGTTTGTGTTGAAAATAGATAGAACAGACTATCTGTATATCATCTTTTGCTATTTCTAATCGATTGCACTAATTGAACTAATTTTAAATTTGTTTACGAAGAAAAATGTTTCGGTAAAACAAATGTAAGCAGTACAAAAGCATCAACTTATATTCATGTTTTATTCAAACTGAAGCTGGTAAGCATTAACATCAAGAAGAGGTTATCAATGTGTTGTTGAGAATTCACGAATCATTTCTATAAATCCAATTTAATAAACAACTACACGTATTATTGAAATGTTAGCCACGTTTTAGCCTATTACTTACAAGTGAAGTATTTAAACAGAGAAGAGAAGTAGAGTTTGAACTTGCAATTCAAGAGTTGAAATCGAATCTTCGATTCGTAAAGACAGCTTATTAGGAACCAAATATCTAATGTGTATCAAATTTCAGTATTTAAATGATTGCCTTGATATATATATATATCAACAGATATAAAAATTAATCTTTACCCTCATCATGTGAATCACTCGAATATAACATTTCATCTGAATGTAACAATGGTTGGTTCCAATATTTGGCCGACTCAGTAACA